GCATCGTAGTCGGCATCATCAGTGAGTTTTGCCATTCGCCGCACCAAGCTACGAACTCGTCAAAGAGAGATCCAAAATGAAAGTTCACCAAAAGGTGCTCTCATCCCGACTGGAGTGGACTGGAGTTTCGGTTTCGTCTAGGCATTATCAACACACCCAGCGGGACTCGAACTATGACATTACAGCCTGCAATCTCGACACCTTAATCCCTCCACCACACGCTATCACGAGTGTCATATGGCAGGTGTGAATTTCAAGTAAGGTCAGGCATTACTTATATTTCGTTTATTATCAGTAGGCAATGTGAAATTCAATGCTATCGTCAGCTCTACTCATAAGATTGTAGGAAACTTCAACTACCACTCCTTCATCACCTTACACTAAATAGGGTGAATACATCTCATACAACTGATTTACCGGTAGTCTCGAAACACTACTTATAACCGAAAAAATAGCAAGTATGCATCTCATAGATTGCATTAATGTGCTAGTTTCAATATGAGAAACACAAACCAGCTAGGATAAACTTTAAAGTTTCGTTAGCATATATACGTCTGTATAAGTTTCTATGCCAACCTTGCAGGCTTCCCAATCGCTATACGCCCACAATCCTGTTTACAATTCCATCTGGCCTTCTGTTTATGCCGTTTGCCTCGGGAGGCCGTATCAGCCCCCGTTGCCCTGCCAACCCGAGATGGTGACCCACTGTTTGTCTGTCCCCGGCGAGCAGTCGCTATCCTTCGCCCGTTCGCCCCACAACCGTAAGCCACTCCACACAGCCGCCTCAGACTCCCTTGCGGCCAGCATGGTCGGCCGAGAGCCACATCGCGATGCGCTGCAATGGCGGCGATCCGCGTTCCCATACAAAAGTGAAGCCGCATTCATCTCAATTCCCAACTTATTGGCCGACCTTGCGGCAAGTCGACGGGTGGGTTGGCCTCGGAGAGACGAAAGAGGAGGCGGTGTCTCATGCGCCTCAATGGCTTTAATCCGATTTTAGTCTCACCCCTGCCGGACGTTTACGTTGGGACCGTTTGCGAGATCAAATGCCTCTCAGAGGACAGCCAATTTCACAAGCATTGAGACTCCGTTTTCGGGGCTGACAGGCGTGAAAATATATGCAAATATCGAAGCAAACTGAAGATGTCTTTGAATGGCTTCGAAATTGGACGAAAAAACACTTCAAAGCAATGCAAGCATAGATCATCCTAAAAAGCAGTAATGCAAGTCAACTTAGGCTGAGAGAGAGATCAAACTAATCTTTTGGAAGCATTGCTGTCTTCACAAATGACTGAGGAGGTGGACAAAGTTCCCAAAAGATGATTTTCCAATTTAAAGTATAATTGTAAAATTAATGTATAAATGTTATAACTAGTCACACTATTGTCAGAAATAAACAAGAGGCAAATATATTTTTAAAGTTGCTTAGTTTCATTAATCGAGATCCTATTCGCTTACTGGATCGTCTCGTTCTTGATGTGAGCCTCGATTTCCCTACCGAGAAAAATCCGACAAACAGGGGCAAGAGTTTCACCAATCGTGGTCTCAGTTACTCCATTAATTATCAGCATGCTCTGACTGATTCTACAGGCCAAGGGAGCATAGTCGTCAGGACAACAACTTTAATAGTCAGCCAAAATGAACAGAAAGATGGGAGAAGTTTCAGTAAGTTTGGCTAAAAATCCCAAATAGGTTGGAGCAAGTGGGAATACTGCTGTCGAAGGGAGAAGAGTGGAGTTGAGTGT